AATTTTAATTTTTTATTGTATTTCATAATTTTAAGATATTTTTTAAAATTTTTTTAAAGTATAATTGATAAATATTAATTTTTACAAAATACTTATAAAAATTTAAATATTAATAAAAGATGATGCAAAAAAACATGTCATCCTCTTATTATTAAAAATGTGAAAAGGTGCTCCGTTTCAACAAAAACAATGTGAAAAGGTGCTCACAGTCAATGAGACAAAACACAGACCCTATTAAAAAGGGCCAAAGAGTGGGTGGGGGAATCTTATGGTCTGCACCAATGTGGACACCCCTTGGACTGTCAAACGAAAGGATTTCAACGAGGCTTAATTAATATTGGAAGAACCAGTGACTCCGTACAAGTGAAGACTTCAATGGCAGCTTTTAAAACGTCAGATTGGATTATCAGTCCAAGGGCTTCCGTTAGCTAATGAACTAGTTGGAGGCAGGGAGGGAGCCAATGAAGGAGAAGGGGGGGCTGCCGCCCCCCTATGCTTTTGAAAAATATTTAATATGGTATTTTAATTTTTATTTGTTGAAAATTTTATATTATAGTATGAATTTTAAGGATCATTCAAATGCAAAGAGAATATTTATGATTTACATAAAAAGTTTTCAAAAAATAAGAATATGATTTTAAATAAAATGAAATTTATGACAATTTAATTAATTAAGAATTGAGGTTTTAAACATTTTCTTATCTATTAAGCTCTAAAATGGAAATTTTTGATTTTTTATTTTAATTAACATTAAATTTATAGTCTTTTTTAGTTTTTTTTTATTTTCTTTCTTAATATTTTATATAATAATTTAAAATTTTGTTTATGGCATTGGGGTATATTTTTACCTTATGTGATTGAATTTGTAATTATTTTTTATGTTAAATCAATCAAAATTAGAATTCACTTTCTAAAAGAAATATTCTATTATTTTTTAATATTCTAGTATTTTTTATAATATTAGTGTTTATCAACATAACCTCTACAAAATCAAGAGGAAAATATCCCAAAATTACATTATTTCATTAAAATCAAAGCACCCTCATTTTTACTTTAAGAATATATTGTTTCTATTTTTTTTCAAAAACAAGTTTACTAAAATAATGTAATTTTGTGGTGTTTTTTCTTCTAATTTTTTAAAGATTTTGTTAACAAA